TATCTTCTAGTATACTTATTCCTTTTTGAAAAATAGTCATATTTAAGGTGATTCTCAAATTTAGAATATTTAAGACAATGTTCACAACAAAGATTTCTTTAAAACATTTTAATTATGACATTGTGATTTACCAAGTTGTTCATAATACAGTTGTTTCATACATTAAATGTTCCAACACCAGTCCCACCACTATTCCTTCCATACTGTTCCCTTCCTTACACTGATGTCCCAAGCTTTCCATCACCTCCTCCACACCCAGCCCACCACCTTTCAGGCACAAATAAATTTACTTCATATTGTTTGTTACAATACAAATGGAATTATTAAAACTTACTAAGAATCAATTTGTAATCATTGTTGTAGATCATAATATTATTGTCTGATGATTTATGGCTGGTTAGTGGTAGCTGAGCTGAATGTGTAAATCTTTAGGCTCTGAATTTGACAGTCTTTTGTGCAACTTTCCAATCAGACTGACTGTGGTCCTCCTGAGCTAACACAACTAGAAAAATTTGAGTTGTCAAACAGCCATGTATGCAGCCATGTGTCCAGGCACTATAGATTTGAAAAAGAAAATGATGGGTTGGTAGTTTGATGAGGTTCAGTTGTGGAGCTGAACCATATCTATGTCAGAGGGTGTTGGGTATGGCTTCAGGCTACTATGCCTTCAGGCAAAAAGAGGAATATGCTTGCTCCCATTCTGAGAAGTCCCCAGAGTTTTCAGCCTGGACAGTCTAGGGAAAGTTGTCAGTATCATGTTCTTTTGGAGATGTGATGCTGGACCATTTCTCTGCTGGCAAGCTGGTGGTATCCAGAACAAAGAGTGCGAATTCACAATACTATTTTTAAGAATTATTTCAAGTAGTTGCCATGTGGCATTAAGTTAAGGTTTTAAATATATCAATAGGATGAATTGACAGACTGAGTGTGCATACAATAGAAACATTGAAGAATAGTTTCCTATTAAAGTATAATTTCTTCTCAATAGTTCACAAGTTGAAAAGAAAAAGAAACTATATCCTTCATACCTTACACAGAAATTTTCTTGAATGTGCTCACAGATCTAAAAGTTCAGACTTAAAAATTTTAGAAATATGAGTAATATTTGCCCTTGTGTTAAGCAAAATATTTGTGATACAAAATAGCTTTCCGTAAAAGGAAAGTTTGTTAACTTGGGCTTCATCAAAATTGGAATCTTTAGCTGTTCCAAGGATACCATTTGGATAAATGAAAGGCATGCTACACTGTGAGAGCTAACTTCAGACTGGAACTATAGGCCTTCCTGGTGCATAAAGTCCAACACAGGTCTTTGTATCAATAATAACAAGAAAGTTCAATCAAACATAGATAAAGATTTTATTGATATAGGGTAATATACATACATTTTTGTATCATCTCTTAAATAGCTGCCCATGTTATAATGTCAGAATGGAGTAACTGTGAAAGAGACTGTGTTTTCCGAATATTCACTATGTACTTCTTTATAGAAGTTTGCCAAACCCTGGCCCAATGGAAATCAGTTCCAGGCAGGGAGGGATAACTCTTCCTAAGTAAGCAAACACCAGTGGGAGAAGTTTGGCATAATTTAGTCTGTTTTCTGATGATAAACATTGTCATCAGTTTTTCCCTTTTGAAAGTTGAATTTTTTAAAGCTTTTAAAAAATTATGGCTAATTCATAGTTGTTACTAGCTAAATTCTTGAAAGACAAAAATTATACAAGTCTTTTTTTGTGAGGAGGCACCCAGCAGTGCTCAGGACTTACTCCTGGTTCTTTTATTCAGGGGTCACTCCCGGTAATGCCATTAAGATCATTTGTGATGTCAAGGTTCAAACCCGGGCTTGGCAGCATGACAGGCAAGCTACCTTAACCCTTGTACCTAACCCTTATACAAATCTCGTATTAAGTCTTTGTGATTTAAGATGTAATATTGGAAACCTTTGTATTATTCTGGATAACTATACTTCACGATTAAAATAAGTTTGTAGATTCATGATGTTGACAAGAAGCTACTACCAAGATAAACTGTGCTCAATATCATTTGGTTCCAACTGATTGTACTTTTTCCCCTCTAACAAGGCAAGTGGAGACAGAGAGCGATTGATTGACTATGTTCCACTCTGGGAACTGATTAATTTCACTTCCAGATAAGTCTCCATCACATGTTTTATCCTTATGTTCACTGAATGTAGTTGCCCCATGTTCGATTAATACATAGTGGTATCTGATCAAATCAGTTTACTCTGTGTATATATACAGGATATTGATATTCTTTGTAGTGTGTATGGGACTCATGCTGATTGGAAAATCTTGACACTCGGTATTCCTTTTATTCTTGTTTGTTGTTGCATCAGCTACATTCTGATTGATTACATTCTGAGTTATATAAACCATTACATCAGTTATTATATAAGTTGTTTGCATAATATTTTTTATTTGGGGAAACAACAGGTGTTACTCTCCTTTGAGTGCTATAGCCATATGCTTATCTGTAACACTATAGCACTATCCTCCCATTGTTCATTGATTTGCTCCAGCACGTCCAGTAATGTCTTCATTGTGAGACTTGTTGTTACTGTGTTTGGCATATTGAATATGTGGGGTAGCTTGCCAGGCTTTGCTGTGCAGGCAAGATACTCTCAGTAGCTTGCCGGGCTCTCTGACAGGGGTCTAGTGCAAACGCCCTACCTGCTGTGCTATCATTCTAACCCATGCTTATCTGTAACATGTTTAAAATCTAAATTATTTTGAGAAAAACAATTTTCAAACAGGAGAGAGTCCTTTCTGGGAAAATTTGCTGCTTTTAAGCATAGCAAGCAAATTTTACTTATTCCCTATTAAAATGCAGGATAAATAGCCTTTTGTGAATTTGCATTTCACAAATTTACATTCTACAAATCCTCAGCATCATTTAACTTAAATTTAGCCTGATAATCCTATTTTACTATTAGTATACTTCAGTATCGTGACGTATTCGATATGCCAAAAACGGTAACAACAAAGTCTCACAATGGAGATGTTACTGGACCCGCTCGAGAAAATCGATGAACAAATAGTTATGGACATAAAAGTAAGCTCTAAGAAGTTTTATAGCACTGAGTTGGCAATGCCTTTTGCAAACCACAACACTCGAAGGGAGAGAACAAAAGGGAATGCCCTGCCACAGAGGCAGGGTGGGATGGGGGTGATGGGGGTGGGGGGTGGGAGGGATACTGGGATCCATGGTGGTGGAAAATGGGCACTGGTGGAGGCATAGGTATTTGATCATTGTATAATTGAAACCCAAGGACAAAAATTTGTAAATCTACAACTGTACCTCATGGTGTTTCACTAATAAAAATTAAAATAAAAAATTTTATAGCACTGTAGCACTGTTCTCCTGATTTGCTTAAGCGGGCCCAGTAACCTCTCCATTGTAAGACTTCTTGTTACTGTGTTTGGCATATCAAATACCGAATACGTCATGAGTAGCTTGCCAGGCTTTGCCATGCAGGCGAGATACTCTTGGTAGCTTGCCGGGCTCTCTGAGAGGGGTGGAGGAATCGAACCTGGTAAGGCATACGCCCTACCATTGTGCTATTGCTCCAGCCCTAAGAAGTTTCAATGTGAGAATATTTTAACAAGACCATGAAGGTTTATTTTTTAAATAAACCATTACTTTTAGTCAGAAAAGGCTATGGAGTAACAAAATAACCTTTGAATCATAGCAATCATAAAATTCAGTGTGATTTAGCTTCTCATCCTTTTTTATGTTGTAGCTATATTATTTCTTCTAGTAGCTTTGAAGTTAGTCAGATAGACTGAAACTTACTGTTAGTTTTGTCGACATCACATTGGTCAGAACTAGTTACAAGGCTCTAACCTCATCTAGGCAAGGAAGCACATAAAGGACAGTGCATTAAATAATTAATGATCACAATATCTGTACTACACCCAGACTGTTAGAATTTCATCCTAATTGGGTTTCCTTCCTTTCATATGTTGCTACAGTGATTTCTTTACCTAGGAGCCAGAGTGAGTAAAGTATTTTTGGTCACTTCCTTGCTAATAGTTTCTTTTTTTACATGAAACCCAACATTTTACCCTCATTTGTGCAACTATTGCATGATAGAGATCTACTTCTTTACTTTGAATAGACATTCTCTAATTATGTATATAGTAATGAAATGATTTCACTGTCATATTTACAAAATCATAATAATCAACCAAATAAAGGGTAATACTAAGATTCATAATAATTAAATGATGGTCTCAATTGCAGTGTATTCTATTAGAATCTTCAAAAGAAAACCCTTTGAGGAATGTTTATCTAAAATTCTATTTTAATGGATAAAGTGTATTTGGCAAAATTAAAATAACTATTGTTTCTCTGACAATAAATAATCTTTAGAATAAATGTTTTCTGTTGAAGTCATTACATTATATTAAATTTGTAGTTATTTTAAATTTAGGAACTATTTTTCATAGTATCTCTCTGGACCCTGCTTTTGATAGTTTAAATTGATGTTAAGCATTTGACTAGCTAATATATTTCATGTTTTATGAATTGAAAATCTCATATGGTAAAATTGAGTACATTTTGGTTATTTGCATGAATTTATATCATTAGATTTATATAATTTGTTTCATGACATCTGTTTATATATACATGTCTCACATAACAGTTTTTTTATTTGGTTAATTTTGTCATCCTTTTTCCTCTCTTTTGCTGTCCCAGTCTTGTTTTATCCCTTCAACAATAGTAAAGCTTAAGTAATAAATATCATTTTTCAGTTACTAAATAAATTATAAATAAAAAGCAGGTGTTTGGGGGATAAAAGATAAGGAAATGAAATCTTTTTCTTTGATAAGACGTTAGTATTCCATTCTTCCTTGATGTAATTAGATGTTTTATAAAGGAAATAGGAATTGTATGACAAAAGTCAAGAACGTTACAAAGCAGTCTATGTGGAAACTTCAGTGCATTTGTGCTTTGACTAACAGTGTTTGTCTTGTTCACAGTAACTGTAGTACTGAATGGAAGTGGCTTGTAGACAGAGCAAGAGTTGGCAGCCGATGGACATGGCTTCAAGCCCAGATTTCAGAGCTAGAATACAAAATCCAGCAACTAACGGATGTTCACAGGCAGATTCGTGCCTCCAAGGTATTGTCAGTGTTATAATAATACTGTTTTATCCCCATTTCTCCATACAAAATATTAGTTGTGACCATTAAAAATATAGTTCATTGTTGACATTTTTGATACAGTGGTAGTTAGAAGTTGCAACTGTCTTTACCAGTTTCAGTTACGTTCTTGTACCTCTATAATCACTGTTTCATTTTCAATACGTTTTAATTTATTTTTAAGTCTGTTTTCATACTGTCATCACACACAAATGATATTTTATATCTTTAAGATCTTTATAAATTAAGTTTTCTATAAACCATTACAAGTAATTTTTACTTAGCATAATTTTATACTTTTTATGCTACATTAAATGAAAGGAATTTATGTATATGAATGCAAGAAAAGATATGTCTCTTCTATCTTCTATTGACTACATATTGTGTCAATTTTTATGTCAATAAGATAATACTGCATGACTATTTTTTTTATTTTTTTGCCTTTTGGGTCACACCCGACAATGTACAGGTTACTCCTGGCTCTTCGCTCAGGAATTACTCCTGGCGGTGCTCAGGGGACCATATGGGATGCTGGGAGTCGAACCCGGGTCTGCTGTGTGCAAAGCAAAAGTCCTACCCACTGTGCTATCGCTCCAGCCCCTGCATGACTATTTTTTATGATTTTTTTGTTTTTAATAATTTTGGGGCCACCAGAGAGATAGTACAGTGGGTAGGGCATATGCCTTACATGCAGTTGACCCAGGTTCAATCCCTGGAACTTCTGTGGTGCCCTAAGCCTTGAGGATTTCTGAGTGTAGAGTCAGGAGTAAGATCTGAGCATTGATGGTTGTGGCCCAGAAACAAAAATTTGGATAGCTTCTCTTGGCTGTAACCGAAGATAAAATTATAGATTCTCATCATGTTCTCACTGCTAACCCATGGAATATCTTCTTTCTCCACATCCAAGACAACATCTTAATATTTACATTAATTTTTATAGCACATTTGGTGAAAAATATAGTTTTACTGCTATTTTAATTTTTCCAAATATAGTGGCTTTTGCTCAGTGTTTAAGAATTAAATGTACTTTATTCATTTTTGTTTTAGAATGGTGTTGTGTGTGCTAATTCATTTTAAATTCTTGGTACTATTCTTTGTGTGAGAGGTAGTGCTTTGGGTCACCAAAGCCATACCTGTTCGTGCTCAAGGTTCATATAATGTTAGGAATCAAATCCAGAACCTCACATATTTACAATATGTGCTTTATCACTTGAGCTATATGAAAGATGCCTTGATAAATATTCCTGATTAGTAAATAGTATTATAAATCTGCTATGTTACAACTTGACTTTTGCTATTTTTTTTTTTGGTTTAGGTTAGTTAAATGATTTTTTTCTTTATGAATGTGTCATATATTTTTATAAAGAAAACTTTACTCATTATATTTACTTTGTGTTTATATTCTTTTTTTCCACTCTGAGGGACAGTCTTTTTGGGTAGAGATTTCTTGGTTGGAGGTTCTTTTCATCAAAAGCTTATATGTATTATTCCATTATATATATTATTCCATTCCATTCTTGCTTGTAAAAATCTCCTTGTATATGAGGCTTTACCTCTCTCTCGCTGCTGTGAGTAATCTGTTTCTATCTTAGGTTCTATTCATTTTGTTTATAAAATGTATTGGTATTATTTTATTTGGGTTTACTTTTGTTGGCACCCTGTGGGCCTCTGTCTCCCTCTTTAGATTGGAGAAATTCTTATAAGTGAGTCTTCTCACTCTTTCTATTTTAGAATTCCTGTGATTCTGAGTTGTTTCTAAAGCTATTGTCAACAATATTCTTTATTTTCTCTTTATTTTTTCTCAATCTATTTTCTATTTTATTTTTTTTGTTAGAGGTACTTATATCTTTTAATGTACCAGTTAGCCTTTCAGTTTTATCTATATTGTTTCTGAGGTGTGCTACCTTATTCTTAAGTTCCTTTACTTCTATCTCAAGTAAATTTTTTTTTAAAAAATTAGGTTCTATTCAAATTTATTGATATGATAGTTATTCTTAAGACTTCTCTGGCAAATATTAGATATCTGATGTCAGTGGGGATCCACCTGGTTTTTTTTTTCCCCACAGGAAACCAAATAGCCTTTATTTAAATTAAAAGCAATTGTAGTCTGACTCTTGGAACACACATGGAAATGCTTTTTGGCATTCAGCTGCTACAAGCAGCCAATATTGTCTGTAACTGGAAACATTTCAGACAGAATTGTTACCAAAGTCAAAGCCCCTAATTGGGAGCGTCTACTTGGTTTTTTGTTGCTCTCTGTTATCACCTTTAAGTTCATTTTCTCATTGTCCTGGTGCTATATTCACCAGTGACTAGGGTTGGGATGGGCCACTATCTGTTTATGTCCAAACAATACTTTTAGATGCATACCAGTGACAACCAGGGCCGGAGTGATAGCACAATGGGTAGGGCATTTGCCTTGCATGCGGCCGACCAGGGTTTGATCCCTTCACCCCTCTCGGAGAGCCCAGCAAGCTACTGAGAGTATCTCACCCTCACGGCAAAGCCTGGCAAGCTACCCGTGACATTTTTGATATGCCAAAAACAGTAACAAGAAGTCTCACAATGGTGCCCGCTTGAGCAAATCGATGAACAATAGGAGGACAGTGCTACAGTACTACCAGTGACAAGCAGATAGCTGGTAGGACCTGACCCCTGCTACTATGGCAGATGTGATAGATCCCATATTTTAATGACAGGAAGTTGTGTTGTTAGGCTGAGTGAAGTCTTAGCCCCTCAGGGTTTTTAATTGGATTTTGAGTGTGTGAAGTAGTAGAGTTTGTTAAGGTTTAGGACTATCTAGGCAGCCTGCACTGAGTGGGGCCTTTATAAGTGGGCAGAGTTAAAGTCCTTTAGCACCCATTAATAGAGAGTTCTAGAGGGAAGTCCAGCATGTGTTGGGGGTGGAGGTGAATATTTCAGCTTCTGGGAAACTGTATCCTGGACCTGTGCTAGGCTGGAGTCAGTGCAGATGGGCATAGCCAAGATTCATCTGGTATGCAGCTATAGAAAGGCCTAATGAGAAGTTCAGAATGCGAGTTGTCAACCAACTTCCAGAGGAACTGTGTCTGTGCCTCTTGAAGGTCTTTTATAAGTTAAATTTGGCTAAATTAAAAAAAAATACACTGAGTCAGTCTCTGTTCTCAGCATTCTCTGGGACCCAGCTTCTTTCAGAGCTAGGCCCTTCAAACCTTACCTCTCTTTCCATCCCCATTCCCCTATGGTATCTCAGTCTCTGTGCCCACCCCAGCCTCTTGCAACACCATCTTTTATCCTGGGGTGCTGCCATCTTCTAGGTGAAAAGAGGAGCCATTAAATCTCGTTTCCCCCTGATATGCTGCTCAGACCTGAAAGCATATTTCCACCACACAGACCCCAGTCTCTGGCCCCCAGCATCTTTAGCAGTCTGGCTCCTCCAGCAGCCAGGAATACCACCTTTTATTTTGCCCAATTCTCTGAACTCCAATTGCATCTGAGCTCCCATACAATCTAAACCATGCAGCTATGACAACTCTACACATCACACCCCACATTGCACACATTTAACTCTTCTATGATAAACCCACAGACACAGGGTAGCTTTGATTTCTGTCAGAGACTTTATGCAATTAATACCTCATTCCTAACTCTCAACTTATCCTATAGAAAAGCCCTCACAATGCAGTGGTGATGGTTAGAAATCATAGTGACTTAAAATGCAGCCAGAGTAGAGGCAAGGCTGATGGCATTGAAAGTAGAACTATAATCTACAGCAGGCCTCAAAATTACAAAGTGGAAACAGCAAAAAGTTAGAGGGAGAGAATAAGCAGGGAGAATAAAGAAAAACCTTCAACCTAATTCATCAGAGAACTTTGATGGAAGTGAACTTCTAAGACTCACTCTCAGAGAACAGCAAACATAGTAGAGAAGCCATGTGGAAGCCTACCAAGCCCAGTGGATGAAGATAATACCCTACAATGACACCCTCAGAGTGCAGCAAATATAGTGGGGATGCCATATAGAAGCCCACCAAACTCAATGAAGGTAATAGCCTGATTCCAGAACCAACAAGCTCTGTAACCTTTAAAGATAACAACTTTAGAAACAACATAATGAGGATATTGAGTCAGCTCAAAGAACCAATTGTACTGGTACAAGAAAATATGAGAGTGCAAATGAAAAAAAAAACAACAATCAGAAGTGACAGAACTGAAGAGTATAGCACTGCACTGTAGCACTGTCCTCCAATTGTTCATCGATTTGCTCTAGTGGGCACCAGTAACGTCTCTATTGTGAGACTTCTTACTGTTTTTGGAATATCGAATACATCACGGGTAGCTTGCCAGGCTCTGCTGTGCGGGCGCCATACTCTCAGTAGTTTGCCGGGCTCTCCAAGAGGGGCAGAGGAATCAAAACGGGGTCAGTACCGGTTGGTTGTGTAGAAGGCAAACACCCTAGTAGGTGAAATAAAAAAACTCAGTGGAAGGCCTCCAAAGTAGAGTAACAGTGGCTGAGGAAAATAATGGGTAAACTCCAAAATGAAATATAGTGAAATACAGGAAAACTCTTAATAACAGCAGAGGATGAAGAAAATTTGAAAATAAATGAATAATACATCAAAGAACAGAGGGATAGTTTAGTTATGCAATCATAACTGAGAATTTCTCAGAGTTGAGTAATGCATGGGTCCAGATACAAAAGATCCAAATGTTCCCAGTCAAAATAGATATCCCCCCCAAAAAAAAATTCCACAATACATTGTAATCAGAATGAAAGCCAAAGAAAGAGAGAGGGTATTGAAAGCAAAATCAGAGAAGGAAATTGCATATGATAGTAATCCTATAAGATTCACAGCACATCTATTAAATGAGATAGAAGAGTGAAATATAATTATAAGCAATAGGAGGATTGTTCCATAGTTGGAAGCTGGCCTCAAGTGCTGGGGAAAAAAACAACTGGGAAAGAGAAAGGACTATGAGGACAATGATAATTGGAAATGAT